CTCCTTACGAGTTGGCTCCTCAACGACTTGTTTTAGAGACAATCCCAGTAGGGAGTTTAGAATATGTGTGCTCCTGGCACAAGCAACTATTTTGGTTTTCCAGTCCACATCAGGAAGATTAAAGTCACCCATGATGATAACTTCTCACTTCATTGTCATTTTAGCTATTTCCTCCACTAGTAGATTATTTAACTCTTCTATTTGTCCTGGGGGCCTATAAATCACACCTACACGAGTTACTGTGTGATTACCAAATTCTAACTTAACCCAAACCGACTCTAAGTTCGCCTCACTAACTTTATTAGGCTAGATTTTATGCTATCCTTCACATACAGGGCCACCCCTCCCCCTTTCTTGCCTTCCCTGTCTTTTCTATATAAAGAGTACCATGGTATTGCTATATCCCAGTCATTTTTCCCATTATACCATGTCTCAGTAACAGAGACTAAATCTACAGCATCAGTTGCCATTATTGCCACAAGTTCATGGATCTTATTCCCTAAACTGCGAGCATTTGTAGACATGACGTTAAGCTTATCATTTTTTAACACACTTGCTACAAGCACCTTCTGTCCTTGTTTTGGTGGGGGAAATAAGATTGATGTTTTATAACCCTTTTGCCCCCTCCCCTCCTAGTTTAAGTACATTTTAGCAAAACCTCTGAAATGCCCTTTTGGGAAAGATGCAAATGATCTTTTTTGTACAGTTTATTTCCATTCCAAACAGAGCTACCATGAGAAATGAAGCCAAATCCTTGCTCCCGACACCATTCAACAAGCCACAAGTTAAAGTCCCTAATACGCATCCGTCTGTCGTTCTGAGTGTTATGCACAGACAGAACTTCAGAGAATGACAGTGCAGAAGCTACCTGCTGTATATCATTGGCAAAAACACAAAAAACTTCCTTTACCTCTGAAACCTCATTGCAAGCCAAGTAATTTGTCCCTAGATGGACAAGTACATCCAATTCCCCTTCCTGCTTTGCTCGCTTAACAATATTACAAATACGTCTCCTGTCTCTGTGAGCAGTAGCTCTGGGAAGACATCTCACAAGACCACCATTGTCCATCTCCACACCTCTTATGATAGAATCCCCCAACAACAACTGCTTTCTATTAGGCCTCACTATAATCTGCAAGCCTGTCTCCATAATACCACTACACTCGGTGCCTGAGCCTGTCTCCACAACTCCATTACACTCAGTGCCTGAGCCTGTCTCCACAACACCGCTACCCTCGGTGCCTGAGCCTGTCTCCACAACACCACTACACTCAGTGCCTGAGCTTGTCTCCATAACACCACTACACTCAGTGCCTGAGCCTGTCTCCATAACACCACTACACTTGGTGCCTGAGCCTGTTTCCATAACACCATTACACTCTGAAAGTGCTGAAAATGAATTATGTAGAAACAGTTTGCCAGGCACTACCTGAAAAAGTATCTTTAAACATGATGGTGGATCTTTAATATTTTGGACTGCTTTTCTGCCAGAGGACCTGGACATTTTGTTAGGGTATATGGCATAATGGAGTCTCTCAAATATCAGCAGATAATAAATGAAACCAGACTGCCTCTGCCAGAAAACTTAAAGGGACACAATAGTCACCAGAACAACTACAACTTATTGTATTTGTTCTGGTGAGTATAATCATTCCCTTCAGGCTTTTTGCAGTAGACACTGTTTTTTCAGAGAAAACGCAAGGTTCACATTACAGCTGAGGGATAACTCCACTGGTCATTTCTCAGATGGCTACTAGAGATGCTTCGTGGGGCAGTGCTGCAATTCAGGGTCTCCTCCCTCTGTTTCAAATTTTCCTCATAGAGATGCATTTACTCAATACATCTCTATGAGAAGATGCTGATTTCCCAGGACTGTGTTTGAGTAGTGCTGGCTCTGCCCTGATCTGCCTCAATGAAAGCCTCACCCAATTCTATGGGAAAGCATTGTGATTGGCTCAGAATACAACTCTGATTATGACAGCCAAGCAGATCAGGGGCAGAGCCAGCAGCTGCAGGTTTGAACAAAAGTAAGATTTTACAATATGTATGGGGACAAGGAGAGGCCAGGGGGGCTAGATGGTGGTTTTAACACTATATGGTCAGGAATACATGTTTGTGTTCCTGACCCTATAGTGATCCTTCAAAATGGGCCGTGGTTGGATCTACAAGCAAGACAATGATTCAAAACATACATAAAAATCAACACAAACATGGTTTATCAACCGCAAAATCAAAGTCCTTCCATGACCATCCCAGTCCCCTGACTTGAACCCAATAAAAAACCTGTGGGTGAACTGAAGAGGAGAGTCAAACATCATTGATGTTAAAATTTAAAGGACTTGGAGAGATTCTGTATGGAGGAATGGTCTCAGATCCAGTCAGATGTATACTTTAACCTCATCAGTACTGAACTCAAGTATTGACTAAAATAGTGCCACTACTTGTGCCACATATATATATATATATATATATTTGTAAACTTGTGTTGTTTTTGCAATTGTTTGATATCCATGATAGCAAAGTATTTCTGTGTATTTTGTAAACAAAAGATCAAATGATGAATCAATAAAGACAAATGTTCACAGCCGTCTTTGCTCATATTTGCTAAGGGTGCCAATATTAGTGGAGGGCACTGTACATCCCAACACATCTCCTTCTATTTTTGCCTGCCCAAGAACAATTTAAGGCTACAGCAAAACCTTGCAAACCTTCCACACTAGTGGCCTGAGAGGCAATTGCCCCTTGCTTCGCTTGGCTACGTGACAAAAGCGTAAGATTGACATCCAGTACATACCATGGTTTCAAATTATGTGCTGTTCAAAAATAGGATAAACCACAACAATAAATACAATTACCTCTTGCTTTTGGTGACACAAAATATATTTCTAAAATTGGCCATTAATTAAGTAAATTGTTATTGCTATTTCTTATAGAAAAATCCTAGCAATACAATATATGTAAACATGTATATTTCATGTAATACACTAAGAAGAAAGTAGGACCACAATATCCCCCCAAAAATGTTTCCTTTACTAATATCTCCTTCTTTATATTAAATCACTAATGTGATTTATTTCTCACAAAACTAATTTTAATTACATTATTTGTAGTTTAACTCGTATTTTCCTTCACTGGGCTTTGATCACCAAAAAGTGGATTTAAAACAAAATGGCAACATTTACGCCAAGTTATCTAAGTTTAAAAAAAATAAAAAAATTTAAAAAAAATGTAACAAAAAAATGTTTAATCTATTCTGGCCTAAAATGTTTACCTTGGCAGGTAGCACACAGTATCTTACTCTTTTTTTTTGTCAATCTTTCTTTTATTGAGGCATATGAAATACAGAATAAAGAAGGTGAAACGATCAAGTAACATTCAAGATAGGGATATTACATCACGGTTTAACACCTCCTAGAAACGACAGCCTCTTTTTATATTAATTAATTAAACTAGTAACATGCTGAGCCGTTGTGTCAGGGCTATGAACAAATGTAGTTAAAAGGGGCACTATAGTCACCAGAACAACTACAGCTTATTGAATTTGTTCTGGTGAGTAGAATCATTACCTTCAGGCTTTTTGCTGTAAACACTATCTTTTCAGAGAAAATGCAGTGTTTACATTACAGCCTAGTGATAACTTCACTGGCCACTCCTTAGATGGCTGTTAGAGATCCTTCCTGGGTCATGGCTGCCTAAAATGCATCTAAACATTCAGTATCTCCTCCCTCTGCATGCAGGCACTGAACTTTCCTCATAGAGATTCATTGATTCAATTCATTTCTATGAGGAGATGCTGATTGGCCAGGGCTGTGTTTGAATCATGCTGGCTCTGCCCCTGATCTGCCTCCTTGTCAGTCTCAGCCAATCCTATGGGGAAGCACTGTGATTGGATCAGGCTACCACTTCTGATGATGTCAGCACACTGCTTGTAAGATTTTTACTATATTTATGGAAGCATGAGGGGCCGAGGGGGGCTAGATGGTGGTTTTAACACTATAGGGTCAGGAATACATTTTTGTGTTCCTGACCCTATAGTGATCCTTTAGGTAATGCATGCGGTAAGAAGTTATAGCACAGTTGGCGTGTGTATCTGGGCAATCTGTCTCAGTCGTTTGCAACTTCAGCAATCATACAAATCTAACTAGGCACATCAAGTCATACAGTATTATAAAGCTAAACGATTAACAGGTATAAGTTAAATGACCGGATAGGCTATGTGCTTGTGTGCTCTGTGTGCTGTGCAGTATTAGTATGATGCCTTTAGTGAATCTATGTGGGCTAGATTAGATGTCAGGTATGTTTTGCGCTATATGAGAAATTGCATAAGATTAGGCTACAGTAGGCCATTAACCCCTTAAGGACCAAACTTCTGGAATAAAAGGGAATCATGACATGTCACACATGTCATGTGTCCTTAAGGGGTTAAACGAGCTACAGAGGTCACCAGTCCTTCATGGTACAGCAAAGTACAGGCAGGCAAAGGATGGCCGCATGGTCTAGCCCATGGATAGCAACGTGGACAGTTTGAGCGGAATTCCAGGTAAGTGTTGACGCTCCTGCGGACCGCTGCGTCCATGTTCAGCCGATGACCATGCAGGGTAAGGCGGTACCTTGTGCTTGAAGCGTCCCCAGGTGGACGGTGAGAAGCGGGTGTTGGGAGGCCGCCCTCCAGCCCCAGGCCATTGAGAAGGCCAGCACCTGCAGGCCACAGACTCGGGAGCTCTGTGAGGCCGGGTCTTCCCCTTTTCGGGTGCCCTGGAATGCCCAGGTGTTCTGCCGGGCTTCCGACGATGTGGTAGGTGCCGTGGAGGTGTTCTCCGTTCGGCCTTTGGCCCAAGATGGCTTTCAGGATGAGTAGGGGTTGCAGCTCTGCATGGTGTGCCTGAGTGCTGCCCCTTCCGATTCCACCTCACTCTGTGCTTAGCGCAGACTTGGAGCCTAGAGGTCTCCACCCTTCGGGTTTCTCTCCGGGTTCAAGTGTTGCCGGTCAGAGGCTTCACAGGGTGGGCCCCCAGCTCAGGAGAGAGGCTGGCTGTGGGATCTGCTGCTTGATGCAGCTTTGTTGCCATAGGGGGGCGTAAGGCAGCTCGCTGGGCGATGCGGAGCCAGAACTTGTGGCAGATGGCGTCGAACTGGGCCTCAAATAGGGCCCTCCACTGAGTGCCTGGGCTTCTGTGTTGGGCCTCCAACACGGTGGCCATCTTGGTCACGCCACGAGGTTCACGTTGTGTGGTACCTCTGCCCTCCAGTTCTCTGTGTGTGCTACACCTTCTACAGTAAGAGGACCGGTGGGGGTCGGAGTGTAGCGGGCCTGTGTGCAGGGCTAGAATACCAGGAGATCGGCTGCCTCTCCCCCTAACAGGTCCCAGTAGGCCGCAACAGGACTTTCGGGCAGTTGTCAATAAGAATGGTCGGGGAGAGTATAATCTCATTTGTCCAGAGTCCCCTCTGCACGAGTACTGCCAAGTTTCGGTAAATAAGCCCCAAATTTTCTCTTAAAGATGCGGTTTTCGTCGATTAATGCAGGAGCATAAGCTACATGCGTCTGCTCAGCTTGGCAGTCAGGCCCAGCCGCTCCCCCCCCCCCAGTATCTTACTCTTTAGTGAATAAAAGTCTAATGAGTAAATTATGACCTCTTCGTGCATTGATCTGATTAGAGTAAATTAGTTATCTAAATATACAAAATTATGGTTTATGGCTTGATTGAAGGAGATAAATACTTTAGCTTTGAATTTCTGGAAGCCATTTTGTAGTATTTATTTTGTGTTTGAAATGTCTGATATTGTATCATCAAGATGTTCTTCTCTTCTCTTCTCTTCTCTTCACAATAACTACAAAACCAAGAAAAGTGGAACATTTTTAAATATGTAGACTGTCAAGGGAAAATTTGAAAAATGAACTGAATTACTGCAAAATTAACCAGGAATAAAAGCAATGGGTAATAAACGCTGATATGAAGCATTTAAAAACCATGAAAAGCAAATATACTCCGGAACTAGAATATAATGGACAAATAAAATACCAAAATTATACCTTAGTAGATACTCACATGAGTTCTCAATATATTTGTTCTATTTGTCCATTATATTTTAGTTCACGAGTATATTTGCTATTAATATCAACTCCTGGTTTATTACCAGGGGTTTTATTCCAGGTTAATTCTGCAGCAGTTTTCTTCAATCAGGTTGCATGGTATCCATGTTTACCAGTTTCTTAGAGCACTATTTAGTAGATAATCCCAGTTTCCACCCTTACACTAGAAATATAGTTTAAATTTCTCTCCACTTATTTTTTGTTCTATTGTAAAAAATGAATTGGTTACAGTACAGAAACCCTCTTAATATATTTATTTTCTAAATAATATTGATTAATATTTATCTATCATTAACATGTACAATACTGTTGGTTTAATACCTAGGCAATAATAGAGTGAGATGAGATACAGTAGCAAAATGATACATAATAATAGAAAACTAAAAAAAATTTACCGTCGGGAAAACCGGGCAAATGCCCGAGGTCTGAAATAGTCATGGGCCGAGGCTGGCAGGGAAGATTAAAGATTCTCTCCTGGCAGCCTTTGCATGGCAGCACCAGGTCTAAGAGTGAGCTCTGTCCCTTCATGGACTGTACGGGAGATTAAGTTACTGGTGGTAAGTGGGCCTCTGTCTCTCCCTCTCCTGAGCTCTGATATTGTCAGAGCATTGCTGTGGCAACCCATGGCAACGTTCTGCAACACCAGTGCTTGCTAGAAGGAGAGACATGGGGATACAGACCACATAACTAGCGCACCAGACCAGGGATCAGCATGCCCCCTCTCCCCCAGCAGGATAACAAGAGGGAGAAGGGAGTAAATGTTTCTTAAATAGTTACATTTGTAAAGTAATTTTTTAAGCCCCAATCCACACCATATATACACCTGCTGCACTTACACATATACACTACACATACTCTATACAGGGCCGGCGCGTCCATAAGGCGGCACAGGCGGCCGCCTTAGGGCGCACCGGCCCGGGGGCGCACCGGCCCGGGGGCGCAAATGTCCGGGTGGCCGGCAGGAGAGAAGCGCACAGCTCCCCTCTCCTGCCGGTCACTTCTTGTAGCGTGGCCGAGCGCCACCCTGCAGTGCCGCGGACTGTGTGGAGGGGGCGGGGATATGAACGTCATATCCCTGCTCCCACTGTAGCACACAGCGCGGCTGGCGCCCAGCAGGGGCGGAGCTACCACCGGCCCCCTTCTAATCAGCATGGGAGGAAGTCCTCCCAAGAAGACTAGAGCAGCAGAAGGCAGAGAGGAGGGGGGCTGGGCAGGACCAGCTCCTCCAACTCCCAACTACCTCAGGCAGCACTTTGGATCCCAGGTAAGCCCCCCTCCTGAACCTGTTGGTCAGTGTGTCTGTGTGTATCCATGTCTGTCAGTGTGTGTGTGTGTGTATCTATGTGTGTGTGTATCCATGTCTGTCAGTGTGTGTGTGTATCCAGTGTGTGTGTGTGTGTATCTATGTCTGTCAGTGTGTGTGTGTGTATCCATGTCTGTCAGTGTGTGTGTGTATCCATGTCTGTCAGTGTGTGTGTGTATCCATGTCTGTCAGTGTTTGTGTATGTATATGTCTCTGTCCGTGTGTTTGTGTGTATCTAAATGTCTGTCAGTGTGTGTGTATGTCTGTCTGTTAGTGTGTCTTTGTGTATGTCTATCATTGTGTATGTGTGTATCTGTATGTTTGTCAGTGTGTTTGTCAGTGTGTTTGTATATGTCTGTCAGTGTGTGTGTATCTATGTCTGTCAGTGTGTGTGTATGTATATGTCTCTGTCCGTGTGTTTGTGTGTATCTAAATGTCTGTCAGTGTGTGTGTATGTATATGTCTCTGTCCGTGTGTTTGTGTGTATCTAAATGTCTGTCAGTGTGTGTGTATGTCTGTCTGTTAGTGTGTCTTTGTGTATGTCTATCATTGTGTATGTGTGTATCTGTATGTTTGTCAGTGTGTTTGTATATGTCTGTCAGTGTGTGTGTATCTGTCTGTCAGTGTGTGTGTGTATGTAAATGTCTCTGTCCGTGTGTCTGTGTGTATCTAAATGTCTGTCAGTGTGTGTATGTCTGTGTGTCTTTGTGTGTTTGTGTATGTCTATCATTGTGTATGTGTGTATCTGTATGTCTGTCAGCGTGTCTGTATGTCAGTGTTTGTTTATCTGTATGTCTGTCAGTGTTTGTGTGTATCTGTATATGTGTGTCTGTCTATCTGAATGTGTATCAGTTTGTGTATATGTATATCTGCATGTGCGTCAGTGTGTGTATCGTTGTGTATGTGTATCACAGTGTGTGCGTGTGTGGCAGTGTATGTGTATATGTGCATATATCTCAGCATTCAAACACCAACACTACACACAAATAAACACCTGCATGCAAACAACAACACTACATACAAACACACACCTGCATTCAAATGTCAACACTACATACAAACACACCTCTGTATCAGACACCAAAATTATATATAAACACACACCTACGTTCAAAAACCAACACTACACATAAATGCATGCTTGCATTCAAATGCAAACACTACATACAAACACACCGCTACAATCATACAAACATACTCCATACAAACACATGCTTACAGTCAAACACACAAATACTGCTCCATGCTAAATACAATACTGCAAGCACGGGGAATCGGTAGAGCCCCAGCTTTCAAAGCATTGTTGAAGTTGCACGACAGATGGGGATCTATCTTTTAGCCATCCTGTGTACATACACAGACCTGTCATACAGAGACATACAGTATGTATGTCTCTGTATGACTGTGTGTGTGTATTCAAAAGGAATAAACGCAGTCAACACTCCAATAGTACGGATGGTATATTTATTGATAGGTGAACCACCCCAAAGAAAGTGCGTTGTTTCAGCTCAGCAGAGCCTTATTGCATGAGCTGAAACATCACACTTTCTATGGGGTGGTTCACCTGCCAATAAATATACCATCCTTACTATTGGAGTGTTGCCTGCGTTTATTCCTTTTGAAGACTTTACTGGTGGATCCAGCGATGTCCGCCTGACACGGAGCATCCACCACTGTTGATGGCCGGAGCATTTACACGGTATCGGTGTGCAGGGTTCTTTGTTTGTCTGTGTATGTATGTCTCTGTATGCCTATCTCTATGTTTCTTTATGTCTGTGTCTGTATTTCTGTGAGTGCCTGTGTCTGTATGAATGTATGTCTGTGTTTGTATGACAATGTACCTGTATGTGTAAATTGTATGACTGTGTTTGTTTGTGTGCCTTTTATGACTGTGTGTCTGTATATCTTTGTGACTGTGTGCCTGAAAAATTATGTCTGTGTGCTTGTATGGTTGTGTGTCTGTATGTTTGTGTATTTGTGCATGTATGTATTTTTGCCTGTATCTATGTCTATGTGGAAGAAAAAGAGAGATAGATAGGGGCTGGCGGGGAAGTAAGAAATACATAAGAGGTGTTGTAGGAGACACACTAAAGGGGGGTGTAAGGCACAAAGGGGCCAAAGGGGTAAGACATTCAAGAGAGTGGATATGCAACACTAATGGGGGTAAGAAATTCAAAAGGGGGCTACGAGACACAGAGGTGAAGATGCATTGTTTATTTATTTTTGGGGGGGGGGGGGCGTCAAAATGCATCTTCGCCTGTGTAGTCAAAAATCCTAGCACCGGCCCTGACTGTAGGAGTTCTTAAAGATGTACTGCTCCTCCTGCAAGGTATTTCTGTGTGTGAGGCTGTTATTGGGAACAGAGGCAGATGGGAAATAATGCCTTACAACTCATTTCAAGTGTGCCTGGTCCATATCTTAGAATACCAGGTCCATATCTTAGAATACCTGAAGCAACATAATGTAGCCCCATGTAGCCAAAGCGCAGCTAAGCGAAAAAAGGCCTTGACAGGGGTTAGGAGGCGGGCATAGGAGGAGGGAAGGAAGTATGGAGTTATGGGTAAGTAGGCTTGGCTATTTAAATAGGCAGCCATTTTAAAGCCTTCACTTTTAATTACTACCTTGCTGAGTTTGTCCCGCCCACCCTCCCTGAATTTGGTTCGGACTTGGGTTATCCCGTTTTTTCACAGCGGCGGGATAGGGAGCTGAAGGAGAAGAAATAGGCTCCCTAGGATGAACGTCATGGAGACGTAAAACTGTGGTCATTGGTGGTTGGTAGGTTCCGAGTCCTGTCGGTGGCTCAG